CATTTTCTAGCCATCAAGACAAATTATTCTTTGGAAAAGCTAGCACAGATCTATGTGAAGGAGATTGTCCGATTACATGGCACACCAAAGAGTATCATATCAGATCGAGATCCACGGTTCACTTCAAGGTTTTGGAGATCGTTGCAAGACGCCATGGGAACACGGTTGAGGTTTAGCACCGCCTACCATCCCCAAACTGATGGACAAACAGAGAGAACTATCCAGACTCTTGAGGACATGTTAAGAGCTTGTGCAATTGAATTAAAAGGAAATTGGGATGATCACCTTCCTTTAGCAGAGTTTGCTTACAATAATAGCTTCCACTCAAGTATTCAGATGGCGCCTTATGAAGCATTGTACGGAAGAAAGTGTAGATCTCCACTTTGTTGGACAGAGTTGAGCGAGAGAAGTTTGATAGGTCCAGAACTGGTGGATTACACAACTCAGAAGATTAAGATGATACAACAGAAGTTGCTTACTGCCCAAAGCAGACAGAAAAGTTATGCAGATAGGAGAAGACGACCATTGGAATTCATGGTAGGAGACCATGTATTTCTAAGAGTCACACCGATGACGGGTATTGGAAGATCAATTCGAGCAAGGAAACTCACTCCCCGTTTCATAGGTCCTTATGAAATTTTGGAGAGAGTAGGACCAGTGGCTTACAGAATTGCCCTACCTCCACAACTGGCCAACATTCATAATGTATTCCACGTGTCACAACTCAAGAAGTACCACCCAGATCCATCTCATGTGATCGAGCCTGAAGAGATCGAGTTACAAGAGAATCTTACTTTCAAGGCCGAACCTGAACGCATTCTGGACGTTAAGGATAAGCAACTTCGGAATAAAACTATTCGGTTGCTTAAGGTTTTCTGGAAAGGAATGTCTCCTGGAGATGCCACCTGGGAAACCGAAGAGCGAATGCGGCGTGATTTTCCTAACTTGTTTGATTAGGAAGAGTTAGTGTTGTGTTAGTATTGGTGATTGTATTATGGTATACTTGTACTTGTACTTATTGTACTTGTGGTGCTTTTGATGTGTAGTATAGATTTTGTGTTTGTGTCTGTTGCTTGAAGTAAACTCTTTCTCTTCGTGTATCGAATTTTGGGGACAAAATTCTTTTTAGGTGGGAAGAATTGTAACATACAAAAAAAAAATATTAAAAAAAAATATATTTTAAAAAAATATTTATTAAATTAAATAAAATAATATTTTATTATTATTAAATTTATTAAAAAAAAAAAGAAACAGCTTTCGGTGGAAAGCTGGGAACATTTGACAAAAGGAAGAAATTGGGGGGAGTAGCATTTAATGAAAGATGGAAAAATGGAATAGGGTAGTTGGATGGTGGAAGGGAAAATAGGATAAAAGAGAGGGAGAGGAGACGGAGGAGGAAGAGAGTGAAGGAAGAGAGAAGAGAGTGAGAAGCTGAGAGGAAAAGAGAGAGAGAGCTAAATTGCAGAGTACCTGACGGTTTTGGAGATCATTTAGGTACACAAAACTACTTCTTGTTATCATATTTTCTTTATGAATATTTCCTATATATTTATATCTTTATATTATTAGTTTCATTATCATGTTTAGAGAAAATTTTACCGTTTGAGTATAGAGTAAATATGGAGTTTTGACAATATATGACCGTAGAAATTTAAAGATCCATTATTAAGGAATTTTAATCGGTTTATTTTTGTTTAATGATTATTTTGAGAATTTTAAACTAAGATTTTAGTTGAAAAGTTTGTTATTTAGACTTGTAATATGTTTTTACCGATTAAATTTGAGTTAAATAATTTATTTGAGTTATTTAATATATTATTGATGTTTTAATCGGCTTAAATATTGAATAAGTTAATATATATTTTTGAAATAATTTTTGAAGGCTTGAAAAATTATAAATTGAGAATTTTGTGAAATTAAATAAAGCTACAGTTTGTTTATAATTAAAAAATATATATATATACTTTTGTTAATTTAAATAGCCTTATATGTAAATTATTTTTCAAAATAATATCTATTATAAATGTCTAGATTTGGGAGAGTTAATATATTTATGTAATTTTGGTTTAGAGGGTAGTCTTAGAATTTTAGAGTAGCTTTGGAGTAGTTTGAGTTTATGTTAATAAATATTTATGTGCAATTTTGTAGACTTGAGGATTTTGGAGTAATCTTTGTGTGAATATTTGTAAGCTAAAGAGTACCAGGTAACTCTGAAAATTCTTTCTTGTACATGTGAATTGTGTATGATTATATTGTGGATTTACTAATTATTATATTCCTGAAATATAATATTATGATTTTGTAAAATAAATGTTTTGGTATGTTACATGATTTTATTAAGATTTGTTGCTAGTAATTATGATCAATATTTAAATATATTAATAGCTATGAAATTATCATGAATTGCTATTAAATGGTATATAAGTTTTATTGCTATCTTATTTTTAATATATTTGAGGAAGTATTTATGATGTAACATTATTGGCATCTGACATGCATTGTTGGGCTAAGGATAGAAGGAGATTGCATGGATATAAAATTACCACGTGGTATGCCATCACTCGGTGCACAGTGGATGGCACTTGTCAGGGCCCCTTCTTCCATGTTTTCCTTTGGCCGGGAATTCATTGGAGCTGTGGGACATGTGACACCTCCCTATTCACAAAGGAGGGGAGCCATAGTCCGAGCTTGAGCTCTATATCTTTGGCCGGATATATCTCTAGTATCGGTGAGCTTGGAATAATTCAGTAAAATGGATTAGTTCCTATCGGACTATGTGTTAGCCTATGGCTCCAGTCAGCGGTATAAGGGTGGACGGTGATATAAGGGAGGCAGCATATTGCATTATTTTTTGGATATATTAGAAAAATGATATTGGTATATTGTTGGGAAAAAAATGAAATTGAATTGGATGTCTCAAATCCGTGATTTTTAATATATTTATATACACACATATAAACAGATTTTTGGTTTATCATATATGATTTGCTTGTATAGGTTAGAATTTCAGTAGTTACTGAGACGTTAGATCTCACCCCCTATATTAACAATTTTTCAGGCGAAGGATCTAGTAGGAATCAAGGGAAGGCACCAATGGAGTGAGCCGTGAAGGCTTTTGTGCTCCTCAAGCACATGCTATGTTATATTTTTATTTGCCATGACTATAAGACTAATAGTTTATGTTGTTAAGTTATGTTAGAAATGTTTTGAAATTTTGACTTAATTGCAGTATTAAAAATATGTATGGACTTTTAAATTAAATATTTTATGGCGTATATTGATATAATTATGTGAGGTGTTACAGGATAAGCTGAATTGTGTTTAGATTATAGTTTTAAAAAGTTAGTTTGTAAAAGTAAAATCAGTAAAAGGTTATTTGGATTATGATTAAATAAAAATAAGTTTGTTTGTAAAATTACCAATATAAGTATGAGTTTTAATAAATAATAAAACACGATTTAAAAAATAATTTAACATAATACAATAAATTTAAATTAATTTAATATGAAGAAATGAAATTTAATAGGTGAATTAAATTTTAAAACTTTAAAAAAATTATAAAAAAATATTTTAAATATAGAGTGAAATAAGACGTCACTCTGTAAGAATGGGCGCAGGAGGAAAGAAGAAATATTCCCAGGGGCTATCAAGAATTGTACATGGGGATGGGATTGCGATTCTAGGTGATTGGAAATTCTGAGAAGACAAGCAGCGATGACAAACAGGGCAAGTATCATTTTGGTCAATGTTGAGCCAAACATGGATACATTCGAAGCAAAAGAAATGGTCGCAAGGTAATTTGCCTGCATCTCCTCCTCATTTGAACTCCTCCTTGCATATGGGACATGGTTTTCGCTCTTGTAATCGCCTTCGATATTTCCATATTCCTAACCAAATCAACATGGTCATCTTCAAACCCTCAGATTTCAGTTACATTTACACGGATTTGTGGAACTCGACTATGGTTTCATAGATGATGTTGCGGGAGCTTATCCACAATAAAAGAAGGCGGTGGTGATGGATGGAGTTGCCAATCAACTTTTAGTAGCTGAATGGAAAGTGTAAGGCATGGCATCTTCAGTGGCTGGGCTCGGCGTCTTCGATGACTTTGGTTGCAGAACGGTCCTGAATTAAGCTTTTCAAACTTAAAAAAAAAAGCTCTTCTTCTTGGCTTAATTTACATCACACGGTCAGCCAGCTTATTTCCAATACGCTCAATATGTTATAAGCCATTCCAAACAATGAATCGATCTTCAATCAGGCTTTGTTAAACTTAAGCCATGTTTAGACCAACAAACGCTGACCCAAACAGGCATTAGGTCACCTCTAAAGGCATACTTTTAGAAGCAATATTAGGAGTTGCAGATAATAGTCATCGTTGACAGTAAGAATTTCAACAGCAACTCTTAATGTCACTGTTGAAAGTCACATTTTCAATGACGACATTTTGTGTGATTAGTTAGGTTAATTATTTATAATAAATATGTATTGTATTTTAAAATACTTTTATTAATCATGTGTATTAAAATAAAAACCTTTTAACATGTATAATCATCATCATAGAGATTATTTTGAGAGAAATGAATAAATATGAAAAATAATGTAGATTAAGGTCATATATTTAGATTCAAATTGAATTTTCAACTAATTCTTATATTTAGAACATAAGGTAATATTAAACTTTGAGAAAGCTTGATAAACAAAGAAAAATACAAAATACTATATTTCAAGTCCTCACATTTCACTATAGCCTCATTAATTTTATGCTTAACGCGCATACTCATAAAACTAAATATAATACTTGGAAGAACTAAGGGTTCAAATTGCATTGTAAATTGTTGCCAAAAAAAAAAAACAAGAAGAAGCAATTGTAAATCGAAAAACCAGCTTTATTGCACTTCTGACTTCTCTAAGAGAACTAATTATTCATCTCTTCTTGATATTAGAAAAGCAAAAAAAGAAAAGAAATTGCATGCTCTTTCCCCTTGTTCAGCTAAAAATCAGAAAGGTTTCCACCTTAAGGATCTATAAGTTTGCCCTCCACGGTGTTCATATGTGAAATCAATCTGAGGGATAACCTTATACAGCATGTCGTCTACATATTTGAAGTATCGAGACCTCCATTGATGACAAAAAATAATGGGAAAGATAATAATACCAAGGCCAAAAGTAAATCCCAATTCAGCACTTAAGAAATTCCAATCAATGTCACTGCCATGATTTGATTCATCAGATGTTTTGGATGACGATGTCGGGGTCAACAATCCTGGTACATCATCAAAATTGCAATTTTGTATCAATGGAGGCCCACATAAACCATTGTTTCCTTTGAAGGAATCAGCCTCAAATGACTGAATTTGAGTGCCTGTTGGGATTGGCCCTATCAGATGATTATAGGAGAGGTTGAGAACTGCAAGGAAATTTAAACTTGCTAGTTCTGATGGAATTCTCCCGCTAATAGAGTTCATTGACAAGTCTAATGATTCAAGATGCTTCAAGTTTCCTACAGATGAAGGAATATTACCTGAAAAAGCATTCTTTGACAAGTTCAATGCATGAAGTGCTTTGAAATTCATAATTTCCTCTGGTATTGGCCCTTCAAAATGATTGGATGAGAAATCCAAGGAAGTAAAGGCGACCAAAATCTTGACCAACTTTAGTTGTCTTCCTTTGTTGACAATTGTCACTGAATCCAAGTAGCTACGACGACCAAAATCATATGCATTGACATCAAAGAATATGCTATTGATCACAAATTGTGATTCTACTGCTATAATTTTGGCTAGCTCCAATGCAAGATCTTTGTTCACAGAGGATATTCCAACGTTGACGTCCATGAGATTAATGTTGTCATAGATGTCAATATACAATTGGCCCAACTTTGATTTGCTATCATCTTCATCAGGCGTCATCAATGATTTCCAACTTTGCAAAAGTGCAACAGGTAGAACACCACTTAAATTATTTGACGCCACATCAATAATTTGAGGTGCCTTCCACTTTCCATTGGTACTTGGACATTCAAGGCTCCCATAAAATCTATTTAACCTGAGAATAATGACTCTTAGGGTGGGTATGTTCCCTAAGAAACACGGAAATCTATCCGTCAATTGATTGTTTCCGAGGTTTATGACTTGCAGTTTAAGGCAATTAACCAAAGATGCTGGGATTTTACCACTCAAGAAATTTTCATTTAGGTCTAAGAATTGGAGGGCACAAGAAGTTGAAAATGTGTCTGAAATATGGCCTATGAGGTTGTTTCCAGCTAGATTCAACACCCTATGAGTTGAACTCATTCTTATCAAACACTCAGGAATGGAACCATTGAATTGATTATCAGAAAGATCAAGCATTCGAAGAGAAGACATGTTACAGAGGGATTCTGGGATTTTCCCCTGAAAACTATTATTTGCAAGGGAGAGAGAAGTTGCGAAAGGGATATGGTTACCGATATCTGGTGGGTCAATTAAGCTGAACTGATTGCTTGAGTAGTCCAAATGGAACACATTTTTTGGAAGTATGGGAGTTGGGCCTTTGAGTCGGTTGGAATGAAGATCAAGAGAAAACAAATTGGAGCTAATGTTTTGAAAAGGACCTTCCAAATCTGTTAGAAAATTGTTGGAAAGATTTAGGAAAACCAATGAATGAAACCTCCAAATCCAATTGGGTATTGTTCCTTGAATTTGGTTGCTGGATAGGTCAAGGTACAACAAATTGGATTGATGTCTGAGAAATCTTGGAAACTCGCTCAACTTGCAAGAAGCCAACATGAGGTTGCTCAATTTAGGGAATGGTGACTGATGACTTTGGTTAGAAACTAAATTTCCATCAACTAGCAAGTTGTTATGAGAGAGATCTAATGTCGCCAAATTTTCCATGCTTTTGAACATATCCAAGCATATGGTTCCATTGAACTTGTTTGAGGAAAACTCAATGAAACTTAGTTTTTTGAGATGAAAGATAGACCGAGGAATATGCCCTTGTAAATTATTCCACTGATATCGAGGAACTCTAATGGGGAAGAAGAAGCATTTGGAAATTCATCCAACAGACCCTCAAATTTATTATGAGAAAGACTCAGTCCACGCAAAGATGGAAGTGTAAAAAGAGATGATGGAACACTCCCATTGAGAAAATTGCGACCTAAATCAATAAAGATAAGATTTTCAAGGCCCTTGAAATAAAAAGATGGAACTTCACCCTCTAAGCTATTGTTATTGATAGATAGATATGAAAGGTTCTTTGACATATTGAAAAATGGAAGAGAACCAGTGAAGTTGTTGAATGACAAGTCTAGATGAACAAGTGAAGTCAATTCTGAAATAGAATTGGGAAGCCTACCATGGAATTTGGAGTTTGACAGATCCAATGAAGACACCATCCTCAAATTGTGAATAGAAGTTGGTAGTTGCCCTGAGAAACATGTACGGCTAAGGTTTAATGAGCGGAGAAATACATTATGCTGGAAATATGGTAGAGAGCCTTGAAGATTTTGATTATCTGACAAATCAAGGGCCTGCAAGTTGGATATCTGGAAGATTTGTTTTGGGAACATCCCAATCAAATTGCAGTTTCTAAGATGCAAGGTGGTTAAGTTGGTTAAGCCACCAAAGGTCTCAGGCACAGAGCTTGAGAAATTGTTATTGTTCAACCGAAGAACTGAGAGAGATTGAAGCTTTACAAGTGATGAATCAATAGGTCCAAGGAGAAAACAAGAAGACATACTAACAATTTGAAGATTTTGTAGTGAAGATAGCGCTTGGCCCCACTCCTTCCCCTTGACAGACATCTTCACACCATCAAGATATAGCTCTTTAATTTCTGTGAGGTTCTGCAAGAACTTTGCCTTATTGGTCTCTTCAAGTTTTGTAGTGTGAAGTGAGGTTGATAAATCAAGAAAAACTAGCTTTCTCAGATAAGATATCTCATTTGGAATTTGACCCTTAAAACCTGCATTTGACAAATTCAAATACCTCAAGTTTTTCAGCCTGTGCAACTCTGAAGGAACCTCAGAATCAAACTCATTATAAGCCAAGTTCAAATTTTGCAGAAATTGCAAGTTGAAGAGGCTGCTGGAATTGTCAAGTCCTCCAGAGATGGATTCTTCACTAAGATCAAGAGCTATAACATGTGCCTTATTGTCACATGTTACTCCACTCCATTGACAGAAATCATGACTTTGGTTCCAATGAACCAATTTTTCGGACATGGAAGGGTTGAATACAAGGTTGTTCCTCAGATGAAGCAATGCAGATTTTTGATGGCTAATATAATTACCAGTCACAACAAAGATATTGATGCCCAAGTTTATGATGCAGAAAGGTACCAAGAAAAGCCATAAGGTTAGGATGGACCTCATTGCATATAAGAGACTCCAGTCCTCTCTGTTAATGATCAAATGAGGAAGGTGAAGGTTGTTTTTTGCCTTATCAAAGCACAGTATTCTTTTATACATTGTCACTTGCGTTAGAATTGAATGATTCTAAGTCATACGTTAATCTCAAAGTCTCTTCAATCTCAACGGTCAGATATACATCCCATCATGGCATCAAGAGCCCAATTTTCCCATATAAGCTTTTAGCGTAATTTGTAAGTTTGCATGACTTTCCATTCCATATTCTTACGTTGTCTTGATTGTGATGGTCACCACTAAAGACTCCCTGCCAAGTCCCTTTACTTCACATTATTCTTTTATACACTATCACTTGCATTAGAATTGAATGATTCTAAGTCGTACGTTAATTTCAAAGTCTCTCTTAATCTCAACAGTGAGATATACATCCCATCATGGCATCAAGACCCTAATTTTCCCATAGAAGCTTTAGCATAGTTTGTAAGTTTGCATGATTTTCCATTCCTACGTTGTCTTGATTGTGATGTCACTACGAGGGAGCCCTCCGGCCAAGTCCCTTTTACTTCCATATATTGTTTTGTAATACTTCTAGAACTTAAAGGTTGTTTTGGTCATAAATATAAAAATATAATCAACTTTCTCTTTTAAAATTATAATTTTTGTCCTATATTTTTCTTATTATTACATATGTTTAAAAAGGATTTTATTAATGAAGTACTACTTCTACTCCTAAATATAAA